TCCTTGTCTCCTTCCCCCCCCGCCCCCACGATAGCATCGAGACTACGGCTTGTGCTGTTCCTCTCCGGCACTGCCAAGCCTGCGGCTCTCCCCGGCACATGCGGCCAGTGGCGAGAGGTGTTTTACATGCCACCTTGTCTCCTAGGAGCTCCCCAGGCTCACACAAAGCCTCCCCTCTCCATGTCTTTATTGCAAAATGCTTTTAAGAGGCAAAAGGAAAGACAAACAGGACAGGAACAAAATGCACTCTCTCTATCCAAAGCAGGCAGTCTCACAGGCTTGGGTAAAAGAATCCCATGAGATAGGGGTTTTCAAAATTAAAAAAAAAAAAATAGTAAAGGTAAAGAACAGTCTCTGTGGGACTCCGGGACTCCAAGGCCATCGGAGTCCCCCACACCCTCCTCCCAGAGGGCTTGAGGCTGACTGTCTGCAAGAATCACTCCTAACTCTCAAACCCAGCGGATTCAAGTCTGCTCCGTCCTGCAGCGCAAGGCGCTAGCGGAGAGCCCCGAGATCAAACATGATCCCGCAAGGAGCTGGGCATCTCCAACACCCCACAAAGGGCACGTGGGAGATACAGTCCCTCACCTCCTCCAAGTGCCAGGATCTGGTTCAGTGGTGATAACCAGGCACCTGCACAGTCATAATCCATCCTTCACCCAGGAGACAGAGCAGCACTGCAAACTAAGCGGAGAAATCATCTGAGCACTCACGCGTGAGCCCTGGCTCTCCCAGATGCTCCATGACTCCCACGCGGGACGGTCACTCTCTCCAGCAATGTCCAAGCACCAGCGTCCTGCGCTCAAGCTGTGATTTAGCTGCCACGAGCCTTTGACCTTGGCACCACTGCAAAGGAGGGGGAAAAAACCCAGTATACAAATGTCCCAAGGGAGCAGAGCTCCAGTACTAGGAAGTTACAAATTAAATTGCGTGCCAGGAAGAGATGGTGGTGGCGGTGCGTGCAACGGCTCCTTTCTCTACTGGCTCCCAACAGCGAGGTACCGGCTGTTTCTAACTTCCCTCTTAACATTCAAACGCCTGGGGACTGACCTTAACCTGCATTTCTATTAGAGTCCCCAGCAAACTGCACATTCAGCTGGTTGGCTTGGGAGTTAATGACTTTCTTTTAAAATTTAACACAGTTCTCCGTCACAAATTTCAGTTTGCCAGCACTAGGATCTGCCTTTGGCTGGATATTCAAATCCAAACAAGTGCTTAGACAGTTATTCCAGGCAAAAGGGTAACATACGCACACAGAAAACCCACAAGGTTGAAGCTGGATTTGAAACTAAAGAAACTAAATCAGACTGGGAAAAATTACCTGGCTTCCCAGAGGGTAAGAGGATTGGAACAGAAAGGGTTTGGGATATTTCTGGGCAATCCTGAGGGCAGATTTCTGGGATTAGCAAAGTCTGCCACACAGGGCAGACACACAAACCTCAGTGCTTTCCCAGAGGTGGGATTGCTGCAGCCCCCTCTCCCCCAGGGTCTACAGCAAGCATCGAGTACAGGGCACAGCTGGGGTGCTCCTGTCCCCGACACCACCTCTGCAGCAAGCACAGCTCGATCATCCTCCGAAAAATGCCAGTGAGGAACCCAACAGAGATGCAGACTGGCCGATTACTAAACCCTTTTCCAATCTGGGACCCAAGAAAGGTTTCCCCTGCTGCAAGGGTATCTTTACCCTTATCTCCTCTGAAAGGAGGCTGTAGCGAGGTGGGTGTCGGTCTCTTCTCCCAAGTAACTGGCGAAAGGACGAGAGGAAACGGCCTCAAGTTGCGCCAGGGGAGGTTTAGATTGGACGTGAGGAAAAGTTTCTTTACTGAAAGAGTGGTTAAACATTGGGACAGGCTGCCCAGGGAAGGGGTTGAGTCACCATCCCTGGAGGTATTTAAAAGACGGGTAGACGAGGCGCTTAGGGACATGGTTTAGTGGGCATGGGGGTGTTGGGTTGACGGTTGGACTCAATGATCTTGGAGGTCTCTTCCAACCTTAATGATTCTATGATTCTATGATTTTAGAAACACCGCACCTTCTCTGCTCACATCCCTGAGTCTGCACGTCCTGTTAGAGCCCGAATCTGCGAGCCAGACGCAGCACCCACAGCAACACCCACACCGAATCCCAGCAACACCCACACCGCATCCCAGCGGGGTCCTTCCTGCTGCCTTTGCCAAACTGCAGCTCCGTCTGCTCACAGGGCAGGCAGGCTTTCAAGGCAGATGGTGTTGGGACTCCACGCTCCTGCAAAATTGCACCTCCCAGCAGGGAGCGAACGCCGCACAGGGGATTAAACGGGATTAAACTAGCATTGACCCAATGTTAGCAAATGCCTCGTGAGCTGCTCCTGCCCACTCCCCAATGCACAAAGCCCTCCACCCCCCTCTGCAGTGTCTCCCCCAGCCAGCACGGGATCCCCACACCGCACTCAGCTCAGCACTGCCGCTTTGCTGAGATGTCAGAGTCTCTGTGATGTCCAGAGTTCTACAAGAATCTTGTCTTTGCATCTTTATAGGACTTGACATGTTTGGCATTTTTCACCCACAGCTTTGGGTAATGAACTTTTTTGGCTGGTCCCTTTTCTAAATCTCTCTCTCTGCCCCTTCCCCAAAAAATTAACAGTCTGAACACGCAAAGGGACTAACCCACAGCGATTCTTGGCCTCCGCACCGGTGAAGTGTTGCCATAAGAACTCAGGATGCCTGTGGCTTAAAGCACAGCAAGTACTTCTAGGGCAGGCAAAGGATCTGTAACAAATTCCACGTGAGCAGGAGCTGTTACAAACCTTCTCGGCTACTCACAAGGAATGCAGAGCACAGAACAGCCAGCATGCACAACTACTTCTTCCTGCGCCCGTCTTTTAGCAGGACCAAGCTTGCTGAACTCTGAAAACAGTTCGTCTTGTCCCTCGCCCCTTTCTATTGCTAAGGCTAAACTGTGGCTGAAACTGTTCAGACTAAGGCAGCTACGACTAGGCTGTGATTTGTATTAGAGCTACTCCATAAATCAGCTCCTCTCCATGAGACAGTACACAGCAGAGAAACGGGTGGGAGAGCGAGCAGCTTTTCTTTTATTTTCAGTTCTCAAAGATTTTCACCTGTCTCGAACACTCTGAGGCTGCAGAAACTGCCTGGCATCTTCCCTCGCCTGCCCTGTGGCTGGTAAGGGAGACATCCTAGGTTAATTCGGAAGGGATCCCTCTGAAGCACAGCAATCCTTCCTGATCACTCCAGAAACGTCCTGTACAAAACATCTCCTATAGGGGCTGGCAGAGCCTCCCACTGTCACCCTTCATGGTGAGGAAACAGCAGCTATAGAGGATACTGGCAATCAGAGCAACCCGTGGGTTATCCTCAGGAACACGGCACAGCCCAATTCACTCTCAGAAGGCTGAGAGGAGATACATAGCACCAACGGGTCCCAATAAACTACTTTTTTCTTCTTTTTTTTTTCCTCTTGCCATTGCCTGCAGCGTAACAGTAGGCTGGGCACACAATTTATGAACGTTACACAAACACCTCACAATCTTACCACGGCAAGGCTTTGTCCTTGGCTTTGCATTTCTTTAAGGCAGTGGGACTTTCACCCGCAAGGTGTTTAACACATACCTGCCTTACAGGCTTTAACCTGAATAAAAGCACGGCTAATTACAGTACTACATAAACTCACAGCACAATTCTTCCCCACACACTCTGAACCCTCGATTACACTAGCAAAGAGTAGCACCATGAGACATTCCAGGTCTCTTCGAGGATGTCTGATCTGAACATCCAGTTCTCCTTCCGCAGCAGCCCTAGGGCCCATTACATCTGATCAAGAAGGCGACCTAGGTCAAGCAGAAGCATACGCAAAAAAAAAAATAAACACAGTGGAAGTACAGCAGAAACTTCAACAGCAAGTGGTGAGGTATAGCAATCCCGGACAAGGGTTACCTAGTCCCACAGGTCACTGGAGCAGCTGCTGCCACTTCAAAACTCTCGTGCAGACGTTGGGGCTACCTGGTCTCTGGGTTTGCCATGCTGAGTCTCTGCGCTCAGCCCCTGCTGCCTTGCGCACAGGGCTGGGATCCAGCACTCCGCTGCTGGCGTAGCTGTTACCTCTGCATACGTTACTTACTCTGACACGGCTTCCTGGACAAAAGTCCAGGCTTTTGGTATTTTTTATGTCTATTTGGGACCAACTTAACAACCAGATTTCCACTGTCTGAACAGTAACCCTGCTTAGAAGCAGCTATCTCAGGAAAACGAAACACTCAAAGCTCGCGTACAGACAGGGTACAATTAGAGACTTCAAGAGGTACGCTTTTCTGAGCCTGCAGTGCTGCTGTGGATTACTGGATTTTGACAAATGCTAAGTAGTAAGCCGTTGCTGATTTATTTTAATGCAATAAAAATAACACAATATTCAAGCTAGGTCTTCAAAAATTTTAGTGACACTTCTCATAAAAGAGATAGGTTTCAATATAGCAAAAGATCTCTTGAGAATTATGATTTTGGCCTTAGTATGGTCACATAGACAAAAGTAATTAAGTTAAAACAGCTTAAAAAGTTATTGCCTGTCACCCGACCTGAATTGTGTACACAGTCTGAAGCTACATCTACATGAAATAGTTGAGCTGCTCTATCAGCTAGCTGACACCATGCGCCTGGGCTCTGCTTTCCAGGGCTTCACCCAGAGCCTGGCACTATTCAACCCCTCAGTGAGGCAGTTTAGCTCATTAATTTCATAGAAAATGAACTATTTCTGGCATTGGCATAGCAAACTGAATTGGCCAGGGCATGTGGTGGGGGGAGACGGAGATCAAATGCCAGAAACGGCACAATGGAAATGGGTACGTTGCCCCTTTTGTTGGCAGAGATCTCCTTTGTCATCTGGTGAAGCCCCAGTTCTAGCCTGCACAAACGCAGGGTACAACGTACCAAAGTTCTCCTCCACTTTCATGTTCAGATTAAGCTAATTTAATTGACGGCTGCTGCTGAAAGGGCAGCTGCCTTCTTTCTCTCCCCATGATCCTGACCCCTCCCTTTTGCCCAAGCATGGGAGCGGGCACACAGAATCATAGAATCTCTCAAGTTGGAAGCGACCCACAAGGATCATCGAGTCCAACTCCCTGCTCCTCGCAGGACTACCTAAAATTAAACCATGTGACTAAGAGCATCGTCCAGACGCTCCTTGAAGTCTGAAAGGCTTGGTGCCGTGACCACTTCCCTGGGGAGCCTGTTCCGGGGAGTGACCACCCCCTCAGTGAAGAACCTTTTCCGAACAGAATTCAAGAATATTTAAGAAAATAGAAGCAGACATACTGGGTCAGACACAGATCTGTGTAGCTCAGTATCCTGTTTCTGGCAGCGGTCAGAAGGTGATGCCTGGGGGAGGACACAAGAATAGAGCAGGCACGAGACATTTTCCCAAAATAGTTGTCCAGCCCCTAACAATTTTCAGTTCAAGGACTTTCCACTACAAGAGGGTCAAGTCCACTTTACAGTACCTTTTGCAGCCACGGAAGGAGTTGGATCCCATCTGGGTGGCGGCACACCATTAGTTCAGCCCTGATGCGGCCACTTTAAGCCACCTCTGTGGATTAATTTGCATTCTGAATCAATTAGCAGAGCATAGCCTGATTATTGCATGTATTGTTTCACAACGATTATATTATCTGTGGTCAGAAAGGCATTCCCCTCCCCCCAAGCTGAAAGCACTCGCTTTTACAATGTTATTAAAGAGCAAGAGGTTCATCTGTCCAGGCGAGATAATGTCTGACACTGCTGCAGAGTTCAGGCCTGGAAAAATAGGTCTTTCTGAACCACAATACAAAGAGAAGCAAGATTCATGGTGAAACAAATTCAAATGAACAGTATGAAAGGCAAATCAGAGGTTACCCTACAGGTTTCCTTTTCAAAGCACTTTCCAAAGTGAATTAACAAAGTTAGCATTAATGTAATAGTTATTTTACTAGTGACCAAAGCATCCAGGAAAGAAGAGGGTCCATCGCGTCGGGAAGATACACACAACCTGGCAGCAAGCGCCCAGTCTTTGCTGGCGAGTGGAGGAGCGTCGGGCCGTTCCCCTGGCTCTGGGCCAGCATCATCCCTGCCCCTGCTCCATCCTACCCCCCTCGCCAGACAGAAACCCCAGCCCTGCCTCCCCTCCTCCTCAAGTCAGGCACCTGCAAAACAACCTCGCCCTCCGGCAAGACAGAAAAAACAAACCGGGCTGCAGCAGCTTCCGAGGGCTCTCCTGACAGCAGCAAGTCGACAGCCCGTCCAGGAGCCGAGATCAGCACCGCCTGTTAGGGTTACAAACGGACGGGTTACGGTCAGTCGCGGCCTTCCTTAAAAAGTAACGCAACACCCACCGCAGCACCGCACCTCCGAGAGCCATAGAGCGACCGCCGAGTTAACAGCAGCATACATTGAAGTGTGCTAAAAATGAGACTCCAGAGACATGATTTGTACACGCAGCGACGGTTTTTATTAATCCAATCACTATAAGCGGAAAAGTCACCAAGCTCCCGCGCGCAGACAGACGCCTTCCTTCGGGTCTGACCTTCGTGCGCTCCAAACGCTGTACGCCGCCCCCAGCACGCTGTTACGCCTCATACGAACAATAACCTTTACCTATAAACTTGTCTCACGACTGTCTGTAAACTATGCCCATTGTTATGTGTAACTCTCACAAATCACGGTGAGACTTGTTTGAGTGTATGATCAATTTATTCATTGGCAAGAAATGGCAATAAGCAAAACAGCGCTGGGTGGCCCGGGAGCCTCTGCTCCACCGACGGCACACGCGGGTTGACAAAGCACATCAGGTTATGTACAGAAAAATCATACATATTCATCAGATTTCCTGGAAAGGGTAGTCTTATGGTGATGAGCTCCCAAGCATGCGCAGTAAAATTAGGGTTAGGGTCTTTTCACACTCCGGTGGTCGTTCATAGTCTTCCTCACTTTGTCCTCTGGTTGAACTTTGGGCTTCCTTTGCCCATATATAGTCATTGAATTAGTTTATCAGTCCTTTGACTCTGGAATATTACAAGGGGGTCAGTTTAACTAGTTTTTTAACACTTATCTTGACACAGTCGTCCTGAGTTCCTATTATCAGTGATTTACACCGGAGGCCTAATGAGCTAGCTCAAGGCCTGTAAATTCTGGTCAGGTAAGAATTTACATGTCTCTACTAAATCACTAAAACTATGCAAGTGAAGCTAAGAAAAATCACAGCAAGGTTTTAGTCAGGGATTGTCAGGGATTTAACCCTTTCATTTCCCCCATTTCTCTAAAATTTGTAAATTCCTTTACAAATATTCTGAGTTATCATATTTCATTACCTTAGGCAAAGTCCAAACTCTCATAGCCAGTTTCCTTAGCTTATACCACAAAAGGCAATTGTCTCATCAAGTTTGGTGAACAAACAATATACCACTTATCACAATCCCCCCTTTTCTGTTTTTCACCATTTTGTTCATCAAACCGTTGTAGTTCTTGATTACTTAATGCAAATAGTTCAATATCATCTTGATTAAGTATTTGTTCATATTTCGCTTTAATTAACAATAAATGTGCTGCCTCCAGTCGGTTTCTCATAATGGCTATTACCTTATTACAAATACATGGCCCAAACACCAATATTAATGTCAAAAGAATCAGTGGTCCCGCTATAGTGGAAAGGAGGGTTGTGAGCCAAGGCGATTGCCTGAACCAGGTTTCATACCAATTTTGTCTAGATTCATATTCTCTTTTTCGTTTCTCGATATTTTCTCGTAGTTTATTCATAGTATCTCTTACCAGGCCTGTGTGATCTGCATATGTACAACATTCTTCTTTTAGGGCCACACAGAGGCCCCCTTCCTTAAGGAATAGCAAATCTAGCCCTCGTCGATTTTGCAAAACCACTTCCGACACCGATCTAACTGATTTTTCCAATGCAGTAATGGATTGTTCTATTCTTAGAAGGTCTTCATCTACGGCTACTTTTAACGCAGTAAATTCTTGGTTTTGCTTAATTAATGAAGTAATTCCTGTTCCTGCCCCTGCGACGCTAAGGGCTATTATGGTGCCCAAGGCTAAAGCAGTTATGGGCTCTCTTTTTGCCCACCGGTGTATAAAGATAGGCTCTAATTGATACTCAAATTCTTTTGGATGATAAGTGATTTTTGGAATTAATAATATCTGCACACAGAATTCTTTCATAGTCCTCAGATAACTCATAGAAACACAAGATGTAAGACCTGTTTTTGAACATATCCATTTAGCGTTATTGGCGGGTATCAACCATTCACTAGCCTTTTTAGTCTTAAATGTTCTATTACGTAAGTGTTGTTTTTCGGGGGGTATTTGACCTACACATCTTCCTTGTCCTTGCACATGTTGTAACGATATTCCCTGGGTACTATTTTCCCACCTGCAAGACCCAGGATTTGATCCGTTAGCAAGTCTCGGTCTATTCCCCAGTCCAATTGCTTCACAATATGGTGGTTTGGCATTAAAACATAACCAACACTCTGTTGTCAAGTTTGGGTTAGTTTTGTTAATCACCCGAAAACTCACATCCATCAGGGTCCAAACAGAGTTTGGGTTTACCTCATCTGGTTGCGTAAATACATCTATGTCAGGATTATTTGCAATTATTGAATTATTTGCAACTATTTGACCTTCGGTTACAGTAAGAGTTTCAGATGTCCTCTTTATCTCTAATTCTCCTGTAATCGCCACATTAGGGCCCATCGACTGCGATTTTTCTTCTGGGGCTGGTTCTTTTCGTATTTGTATAAGCCCTCCCCTGTCAGTTCCAGATTCCCAATATCTTACTCCCCAGGTTTTTCCCGTTATCCAAGTAGAATCCGTAGGGTTGGTTATGTGCGGTCGGCTTTCAGCTGGCGTCGAAGCTTCCGCGGTGCCAGCCGAGATCAACATTCAGTTTCCAGTTGTGCTGAGCCCTCTGAGTGCCCCGATGGAACTGACACGTGGATTGTGCAAGTTTAAGTCATTTACAGCAGCTGCTGATAAAAGTTGAATTTGTTTTTTCAGCTTCCTGACGGAGTAAATATTTCCAAAGAAGCTCGGAGCGCAATATCTCGAGCGGCAAGTGTGTTTGTGCTCTATGCAACATCATGGTAAGAATTTGTGGCATCAGGTGACCGGTGCGGTTGATTTATAATTCACCTCTCTGCTGGCTGTCCGGGAGATTTTTTCCCCGGTGTTTGTTTCGGTATTGTCTGTTTACATAAATAAAACCATCTTTAGCGTAGCCCAGTCTACCAGACTGCAGCGGTTGGGTTTGGACTGCCCTTAACAACCCGCGGGGAAGGCAGCTTGGCTCTGTACACAGAGATGCCCCAACCCCACCAGGGAGAAGAGGGGTCCCAAACCGCCGTTAGCCTTAGGATACGGCTGCACGGCTTTTCCTGGCCAAAGCCAAGAGCCCTTCGCTCGCTTTCCAAGCTACGCGCCACGTGGCTGCGGCAGGGCAAGCGTGAGCCAACCTAGTCAGCCTTGGAGGCGGTCAGAGGACGCAGTAACGTCTTTGGGGTGGCTGAGAATGTGCTGTGCGGGCAGTCACTTCTCTGGCGTCAAGTACTCGCACGGCTTTCTGGAATTGTCACCTTACAGCCGACGTTCAGCCTTCCTCCGTCCACCCCGTTGTAGAAAAGGTCCACGCAAGCAGAAGACTAACGTTGTGGGAAGGCAGTGCAACTAGATGAAAGCACAAACAGCCAATGTAAACAAGAAGGTATCTTAAACTACTATTAGTGAGTGATTAAAAAAACCCTGAAAGTTTAGGAGATGGCTTTTTTTCTTTTGAAGGTGCTTGTGACTGTAATAAACAAGACTAAATGGATGACAGTGCCGATTAACTCTATTTTCCTTCTTGTTTTTGACTAGCGCAAATAACTTCGCCATGAAGGGGAAGAGGAAGACGCTGAATGCTGGCGATGTTCTCTCTGCCATGGAGGAAATGGAGTTTCAGCGATTTGTAGCCCCTTTGAAAGAATCACTGGAAGGTATCGTCCTCGGTTCACGTCGAGGGAGTCTAAGCAGCACCAAGTCCTGCTTCCCTCAAACACTGGACGAGCAACACTTACTTGCCTGTCTTGTTTCTCTTCTCTGCCCAGCATCCTTCCCTGCAGTTTGCCTGGGGAATAAATAATGTGCACCTTAGCAGGACCGGGATAACATTGTTTCACAACTGACGAGGATTGAGAAAGTCTCATTTGCTATCGCTCCCCTATTGTGTTTATCTAAGGAAAGTCTTACGTGCTGCCTGTAAATGTGAACTCCTGCGTCCTTTTCAGCATTTTTCTGCTGAAACTTAACCCGATTTCCTCTGGAGCCGGTCAGCACAGCTCAAATAACAGGGCGAGTTGCTGCTCCGAGTTCACTGATCCCCTTGCAAGCCTGGAGAGCAAGCGGACCTTGGACTTCAGCTACCGTACTGTTCATGGCGTGGAGACGCCGGCTTGCAATTTTTCAGTGTTCTCTCTTTTTCTTTTAGTTTACAGGCGTGAACAGAAAGGAAAGAAAGAAGCAAGGAAAGATAAAGACAAGAAGGCAGACTCAGAGGAGCAAGATAAGAGCCGAGAGGAAGAGAATGATGACGATGACGAAAGGATGGAGGAAGAAGAGCAAAATGATGAGGAAGAGGTGGACAACTGAGCTTGCTGACGAGACGTGTGCAGGGGCTGGGTTCTGTTCAGAGGGATATAAATGCTGTAAATCAACCTTGCTGTGTCCCCTCTTGTTTCCAGTAGAGCTTTGTACTGTTCCTCTGGGCCCCATCCCTTTCTGGCTTTAACTTGTGCATAAAGGACTTCTGCTGAAGCTTTCCTCGTGGAAGGACCACTCCTCCCCGTGCGCAGGGGGCTTGGCACCCTCCCCAGGTTCTGAACCGACAGTAACGGGACTGGGCTTTCTATGCTGGGTTGCCTCTGCAATAGAGGAAAAAAGAAATGCCGGATGCTCGGTACAGAAGCCGGCCGGGAGAGCTTGAGAAACTGTTGAATAAGCTCCTTAAAGCAAGTCAGGGGCTGAATCAAATAGATCATTAACCCTTTGGGGTTTAGAATCTACGTGATGATGTCAGGAGGCTTGGAAGCTGAACGTTTAACCTTTTTATCCAAGTGACTTGGGTTTTTCCCTTCACTTTCTTGCATTCTGGCTGTGCCTTCTCTTCCTGCTGTAACTGTGACAGTGATACTGTGTCTTTCAACCCTACCAGTCATACGCAGCAATACAGTACAACTGTACAAGGACCAGCGGTCCGTCCGCTCAGCTGATTTTCCTCCCTCCCCCAAATCAACCTAAATCAAAAAACTCCACAGCACTTACGACGTAAACTAAATACCAGAAGTGCTTGGTTTGTGTCTTTAAAGCCCTGGGAGACCAAGAGGAATTTTATTAAAAATCTGAAGCAAAATTAATGGCTAAAATGTGTATCAGGATGATAAAAGGCGGCTGTATCAAGTGGTACGTTTGTTGCAGGTCAGCAGTGGGCACCAGCGGCTCTGATGGTCTCGCCTCCTTTCCCTCTGCAGAGCTGCAGTTCCTGCAGACAGGTTGGTGACTGCAGCAAGTTTAAAGGCAGTAGCTTTGGTGGGTTGGTTTTTTTTCCCGACTGGACCGGACTAATTACACCAGAGGTCCCTCTTTAGCCTTCGACAGTCATTCCAGAGACGCGGACTGCCTCCCAGCGTGGTGGGCTCCAGGAGGGCAGCGAGGACAGGACGCTCCTACCTAGGAAGGCCAGCCCCAGGCCTGTGGTTTTTAAAGTATCTCCTTCAAGAAAGATGGGTTGAAACAACCTGTTTGTATTCCTAGTACTCCTACAGGTTTGTTCTTTTATACTTAGTTTTGATGCCTTTCCTTTCTTTTCTCTGAGAAAGTATCTATTAGAATAAGCTCCTTTTTGGGAAAAAAAGCTTTATGATTTGACTGCTCTTTTTGAAGACCAGTAAACCTAATATTTGAACTTAACCGAGGTCTGGTGAAGGAAACTTGAGGAAAGTTTTAGGTACGTTTAAGTAAAACCCACGAGTTTTGCTGACGTGCAGTTTTAAAACGGCACTTGCGAGGAAGAGCACGTCCTTTTCACCAAAAAACTGATGCAGCGCTACCCACCAGAGCTACCCCGCCTTTATGCTTTTATGGCACGATGGCTTTTCACGCACAGAAGCCCAGCTCCTGAAAAGAACCGAATCGGCAAAGATTTTCTGCTCTCTAGTTTCTACTGGCGTGCAGTCAGTAACAGATGAAAAGACTGAGCTGACGATGTCTTCCCAAGATCTCCAATAACAAAAAAGGCCTGCCTTCTAGCTCCCTTCCCTCTTCTTCCCCCCCCCCCCCCCCCCCCCCCCGCCTCTTCTCATACATCTCTGGGGTGCATATTCTGGAAGGGAACAACATCTAAATAAAAGATTTTTTTACAGAAGTGGAGTCTCTGATGTCTGTCAGTGATAAAATGAGCGGGTTGCGGTTGCGTAAGCACGCGTCTGAGCGTGCAGTGAAGGCAAGAAGCAAACTCGCTGGGACGTGGCTTACGGAGCAGCTGACGGCGAAGGGAGGACGAAGGCTGCCGCTCCCCGCCCTTCGTGCGAGAGGAGCGAGGGAAGCGCGGAGACTCGAAAGAAGGAGATTTCCACTTATTGGAGAAGTGAGGTTCGGGCGCTAGTGTTTGTATCCTTGGTGGAAGGAGCCTTCAGCTTGCCCTTGCTCCCGGCGAGAGGCACTAGGCTGGGGGGAAAGAGAGGAGCGATGCGGGGTCTGGGGGTACGCACTGCAGCGGGCCAAGGAGACGACGTTACCGTGGGGGAGCTGCAGAACTCCAGGCACTAAACCCGACCCGTGCATCCCCCGTGCTGACGAGATGGAGAAAACAGCACGTCCTGCATGCGTGCTGCCAGGCCTGCAGCGTGGCTCCAGCCTCCACCGGCCCGGCAGGG